TATTTTAGGTACAATGCACCATTATAAGAAAAATACTTCCACTTAATTATATTAAGATAGCTCACATATTGACCGTTGTACCAAATCCGGTATGAATTAAACCGGAAGTTCGTAAATATTTATAGGGGGTATATGGGGATAAGGGAAGTATTGACCCGATTCAATTTATTTTTGACATACTTGCATACTGTTATCAAAAATAGGTTCTTTCCGAATTGCAATAATAGATCTCACAGATTGACCGTTATTTCCGGGTAAAAGTTAGCCTAAGGCACTGGGGTCTCCATATTCGGTAGCTGGGGGCTTGAGCAGTTATTGTCCGATTTTGACAGACTTTAGATGGTATACCTCAAAGGCACTATTTATGCAAAGTTATATATATTCTTTGGTGGTTGTTTTATATACTGGAAAGTGTAAGAATTATATGGAAATTCAAATTATGCTATGTGGGAAGTAGGCGTGGTTGTAGTCCAATTTCGCACAATTTCATACGGTAAAATAGGATCGTTAGGGTAATGTTATGTGCCGAAATTTGTTTGAAATTGGTCTAGTAGCTCCGGGGATATATGATTTTATCTAAATGTGGGCGGTGCTACGCCCATTAACCAATTTTGTCATCGACTCCTATAAAAATTGCTTGTACCATCCCGGATGTAAAATTTAATTTATTTAAAAAATTAGTTATTGATATATCACACTTTTGGTAGTTCTTAACAAAACCGTTATATGGAGTGTGGGCGGGGTTATCATCCTATTTCATCCATTTTCACACTGTCGAAAGAGAAGCCAAACATATTTATTCTGTGCAAATTTGGGTTCTATGTTATAGCTCGAATATAGTTGTATACATTCTTATATATTCATATAAAACCATGGAGGAAGTCCTAGACTTCAATTTGCATTTCGAATCAACACATATTAAAATGCTTTTAAGATGATTATAGTACCAAGAAAGATGAAGAAGAATAAACTAGCTCATTTCTTTTATTTAAACAACACACATTCCAATAGAGGGGACGTTTATAACGCATATCCCTTTAGAAGTCATTTAACATACTGACCACAAATAGCATTTTACCATCGAAGTAAACTCATAAAATTTTGAGAATATCGTCTTATATATCTAAGTACCACATAGTATATGCAACATGTGGGCTCGCGAAAATTCTATCAACCGGCTGTAATGAACGCTAACTTCCCAGGGGCATACATAAATGATAGTTATTGAAAGTTTAAACGTTTTATTATAAAGCTAGTTGATTTATAAGTATATCGTAAAAACGGGGCAAATGGCTTACATGTACCATATACCTAATCGGTACATATGCACCTGAATCAATGGTTTTGTGTACATGACCTTTCTGTAGTCTTCTACAGTTTGTGGTTCGACGCTATTTGAAAATTCCCACAAGCACCCACTAAATTGTTAATTATATTGATTTTAAAGCTCTTTGTGTATCTTTATTCAACTGAATTCATGTACTTGCATTTGCAAGTACACTGATCGGTATCATTACCAGTCTCATGACATTTATTTATCACCACTTAAATGCGCTGCCACGCGACAAGCCACACATACATACGAGTACAAATGTACATGTTTGATATGCACTGAGATACCCTTTAATTAGATCGTTAGTATGCCTAAGTGTAGCTGTTGATGACTAATTACTTTAATACGATTAGCTGTAAGAATTATTGTTACCATTAACCGCAATACTCGCATAAACAGCTTAATATCTCACCTCATTATGTAGAAGTAGAGAGATAAAAATGTTTCGGGCTTGTCTCGACAGTTGACCTTTGAGATAAGATATCATATTTTAAGTAAGTCCTAGGTATAGCATCGAAGTTCGACGACTTTAGCGAATAAATAAAAGAAGAGAAATAAGCTAATTAAAGATATTTATAGAATTTAACTGGTCTGGAGTGGTTTTGTGGTCCAAGATATAACATCGATTTTAGATGTGTATATTTGTGATGACAACTCATGAAACTAGCAATGATTTTTTAATAGTTACCTAAATTTATAAATCTTTATTTTCATTTTACGTTACAAAAATTAGAAAACATGAAACAAAATAACAGATATATATATTTACAATATGAGTTTGGTTTTGAAAAATAAGGATACAACGAAGTAAAGAGAGAGAAAAATGTCGAAAATATATGTTACAAGTAGTTCAATGAAAAATTTGCGAGCATTTTCTTTATACTTTTCCAGTTGACAAACTCTTTTTAAAAACCAGATGTAATCTGTCATCATGCGTTGCTCCCATCAAACTTGATAACTTGAATCCTTCACTTTTAGATCCTGGTGAAACCGTTTTCACTATACTTCCTAAATTGTCTGAAAATGTATCCAAATTATTGTGGATGTAGACTAACTTAATAGAGTCGGAAAGTTTGTTAACGTATTTTTCACAATTTCTTCATAAATCGGTGCTTAATGGTTAACTAGAAAATTTTGACTATAAACACAAAATCTACATATCTCCTAAAGCACCAAAGCTACAAAAACGCATGATCACATTAACTTGGAACAAATTCTCAAGAACTCCTAACGACAGTGTCAAAATGGTTGAAATCGGATTACTATTAAAAGTGCGATAAATCAGTAACTGAATGCTTCAGAGACATACAATTTTACACCTAAAATGTTACGAGAGGGATTTATAGGAGTCTTTGTGTGGCAATGGGTAATGCAATCAGCTCTTCCACTACTCTGCCCCCAATGATTTTGGTATAATTTTCGCTGACGGGAAGTAAAATATAGTAATATAACTAAGGGAGTCTATGACCTTCAACATAAGTTAATATGATACCAAATTTGATTGTAATCCATTCACGATTACGTCGAGTAATGAAGATGAACCCTTTCGCTATATTTTATCAACAACTGAAGGTATTTAGCCCGCTTTAATCCTTGCTAGTTACAAAAGTACGAAATATGGGGCCAGACCCGAACTTTCTTCTTACATGTTTTATTTGAAAGTTTATTTAAGAAAAACATATTTAATAGTATTATTGAAAGTATTGCCCATCTGAAGCTACAACATTTCTCATCTTTTTGGCAATTTGTGGATTCCAACTCAAAAAAATTGCAACTCTTTGAATGGTCAGCCAAGAATGAATCAAGTAAATTTTTTGATACCTGATTCTAGAGCTGCAAAACTATCGATAGTCAGACTACTCGATAGTTTTGATAGTTTAAAAAAATAGTATCGATACTATCAATAATTTTCCTCTTTTAAATCTACCTTTTCGTTTAAATTAAGAGATTATGGCTTTGTTCACTTCATTGATATGAAACAATCAATAGATTTATTTATAAAACAATATCATAAAACACGAAAAAGTTAAAAAATTACATACAAGTATAAAATTTATTCATGGTATTATATAAATTTCTCTGAGAGCTGATGCGGTAGAAAAAGATACATTTTTATACATTTATGTGAAATGAGATCGAAAGATTTATATATAAAAACGTTTCCAGTACTTCGAGTACTTTATAAGTCGTTTCACCCTAAAATAGGCACTATGGTTTGAATGGTTCTAACCACACCTAATGAAAGTGTATAAAATAGTTATATTATATATAATAATTTTTATATTATTTTAAAAATTCCCTCTACTTACGCCAAGCCAAATATGAAAGCATGATGACCTAATGAAAGTGTAAAATATAATTTTGTGCTCACCCAAACCCAGGGTAAAAGGATGATTTTATTCACATCTAATGGAATTGTATAAAATAGTTAAATTTAAGAATTATTATATTATTTTAACAATTTACATATCTACTTGCGCATTTGAGATCGCCTGGTACGTGCGCTCAACCAAGCAAGAATGAAAGAAATAATGTTTGGCTGCCATGTTATCCCAAATTTAACTTCATATTTGGTATTACCAGACTATATCAATATGTAGCTATATTGAGTGAAAAAAAGTATCGATTGTTTTGCAGCTCTACCCGATTCTGATGTAAACCGCATTCCTGCAAAGATCGGATCAAATGGTAGTCAGAAGGAGCAAGGTCTGTTGTATTAAGTGGGTGACGCAAAACTTCCCTGCTTTTTGCTCTTTAATGTAATCGGCTATTTTTAACCGTTTCGACATGGCTGCTTGAGTGAATCCCAAAGATTCTGTGAGTTCCGCATCTTCAAACTTATTTGGCCGCTAAGACGTTACGTCAGTTAGAACATGTTCACAATACACTTCCACCAAAATATGATGACTTTTGGCTTACGTTTTCTTCAAGTTAAAGTAGCAATAAAGAATTCCCCACAAAAATACTTTTTCATGAACAAAATTTGTTATACGATTACGAGGTGTGTTCGAAAAATAACATTAATTTGAAAATTAAAATTTCGCAGGTTTGGAGAGTCCAATTGTCAAATTTCTTTTTATTATGTTGATTTATATATTTCTGGAGTACTATACGATTTTCAGCTGTATTCATTGCTTACATTTGTCATTGCTTACATTGGTCATTGTTGCATCTGCAACAGCCGCTAAGGTTAAACGTATTTTTATAAGCTTAGCAATTTTTGTTTGCTAAAAGAAATTAATCAAGGAATTTGTTGATGCATTCTTTGCCGAAAACCTTAAAAGGCCCTCGTTTTACAATCATATATGACATTAAAAGCAAATCGCTGGAAGAGCTAAGGGCTATCCCAAAAATCGAGTTTAAGAAGTGTTTTGACGATTGGAAGAAGCGCTGGCATACATAAGTAAGTGCATAATATCGAATGGAAGCTATTTTGAAAGCGACAACATTAATATTACGAGTATTTGAGTGAAAAAGGTATAGTAGTTTACGCTTTCAATGAATGACATAGACTGAAAAAGACGCATAAGGGCAGTAGCTTTCCAAACCATGTTCGGAATAGTGGAACAATGGAATAATAAACAACTTCCGCCATCTCTTAGCAAACTGCAAGAATATAGTTATAGATCCAATATATATACATACATATAAAGTGGTCCAAACACTGTTTTCTTTATATTACTAGAGAGAAGCATATTTGCTTGATAGTGGTCAAATAATAGATATAACAGTAGTGAGAGATATTTTGGAGCATGAACATTGTCTACCACTTTTTCTGTTGATCAACGGTCCGTACTACTGAAGCATAATGAATATTCTGCGGCTGTTCGTTCATTATGTTATCAGCTGTGATTTCACTTCGGATTTTACAACATATACCAAAACTAAACTATGCATAACTATTCAATTAATAACATATAATATATAATACAAACTATTTAAGGTAAAAATCCAAAAATTATATAAATTGGAAATATTTGTGTTTACATATTGTATTTATTTCATCTTTTTTATTAAAAGGTAAACGCACAACCAGTTCGAGACTTCTTAACTAATACTACGTTTTATTTTAAAAATGCACTAGAACAATATTCTAAGAATACGCTACAATATTAACACTATTTACTGAAAAAATAAATGTTTTTGAACTTATTTTGTACATTAGTCACCAAAAATGAGGTGTTAATCAATACACTTTAAACACGTATGCAAACTATATACAAATAATATTCATTAACCCTATAATTATAATTTGAACTACACATTGTTTCCCTGTAAGCTCCCCTCAATAGTCATCTAATACCGCTCCAACTTTTCGGTACTACTCGTGCACGCTTCGTTATAATAGCCAGTGGGCGTGTTGAAGTTACCCAACACCATAGAAATACCGGAAGGTGAATGCTGAATGCCCGTGCCTTTAACCGTTTTCGGCAAAGTGCCATTGGCCAACTTCTCGGGGCCGCCAGTTTGAGGCGTTGTTGTTGGGAAGTAGTATGAGGCATTATTTATGCGTCTATAGAGCAGAGTGCGCAGCTTGTAGATAGTGAAGAGTATCATGTAGATACAGCAGGTGAGCAGGAGCACGCCAAGAACCACAAGCGTGGCATTTAACGGTTCACGCCAATCAATCACGTGATAAATATACGGTTTGCCTCTTCTATAAGCAAGTGAAAGTACTTAATAAAATGTGTTTGTGAAAATGACAAATAGAAGTATAAATACCTGTTTTTGCCGCCACATATCTGGTATATAACGGAGAATATCGCAAATATGAAACCAAATAACGCTGGTAGAAACATATGCAGTAGCCGCAACGGGTGCGCCACAATCAGCAAATCGATGAACATGAAAATGGAATTGCAGGCATGTGTCAGCACGTTCGTGGCGTTTAATGAGCTCTCAGCAGCTGAAAATGCACACACCAAAGAATTAAACAATTTGTTAATGAGGAGAAAGAAAGAAGAGAGAAAGAAAGAAATTTCAGTCGATTTTGGATAAATCATGGACCGAAAATTTCAGCATAGAATAATTGACAAAAGAATTCAAGCGCGGTTTCAACAATAAAAGTAAAGAGTAATCAATTAGTACTGCCATGATATTGCCTGGACAAGTACGAAACGGTTTAGTTGTAACCTGGTTTAGTTGTAACCTCCGCCTCAAGTATGGATAGTGGCTCTGTGGAAGTATTTTAGCAAGTTATTAGGGACCAGTTACACTTTCAATATCATATCTGTCCATAAGTTGTCCAGAACGCCAGTGATTTGAATATATAAGGTTTGGTGAAAAGAAATCCATCATTTTTCCAATAGACGGATTTCGTAAAATGTATCTCGTGTTGTATAAGTGCGATTGGGATACGCAATGTAGCATTAGAAAGATAAGATTGACAAATTTCTCAGACCGTTTTTAATTGCTTGTCACGCGCCAAAGATGAACACCAATGTGTGCCACATCAGTTAACGCAAAAAACCTCAAGGACCGAATAAACATTCGCGAATTGCTGCTGAATCGCAACAAAATCGATCCATTTCTGGAGCGGATGGTTAACGGTGATGAAAAGTGGGTCACTTACGACAACGTCAAGCGAAAACAGTTGTGGAATCCAAGAACTGATTGTGAGAAATGGTTTGCTATGTGTTTATTGGGATTGGCTGGGAATCACTTACTATGGGCTACTCTCCTCCGGCTAAACTCTTCATCCAGGCCTGTACTATCAACAATTGGACCGTCTGAATGAAGCAATCGCCCAGAAGTGGCCAGTAGTAGAGGAATTGTGTTTCATTAGGACAACGCCAGACCACACTCATCGATAGTGACTCGCCAGAAGCTCCGGGAGTTCGATTAAGAGGCACTTATGCTTCCACTTTATAGTTTGTACCTGCCATCAACTGATTACTAATTGTTTCTGTCTATGTCAAATGTTTTTGCTGATGAAAAATTTGAATCAAGAGAGCTTAAGAAAATCGACTGTCCCAGTTTATGGTCAATAGGGACGAGGATTTCTATGATCGTGGCATTATGAAATTACCTTCAAAATGTTAACAACTATGTTAAATAAAACATTCAATTTAATGCAAAAATAATGGATTTTTTTTTACTAGACCTTGTATATTTGACAACATATTTGGTCAGTGCAAACTGTAAAGAGTTCAAGAGTTCCTGGTTGTTAGTAAGATCACTTTCAGTATTTTATTATCCAAAATTATTTGCACGCAAGTTAAATAAGAGTCTACTGAGCACAAAGTTTATTACAGGGACCAGCGATTATCGATTACACTGGTTGCAGAAATTTGTGGTTTCGGACACTTTTCAGACTTTTCAGACACTTTAACACCGTTTCCAATAGTTGGAAATTGCTACGACAACTTGTACAATTATCATATGGTACTTTTTCATGTTTTTCTATACGATGCTTTATTAGAGGTATACAATTTTCCAGAGAATTAACTGTCAAAGTATTATCAGAGAACGTATATTATACGTTCTCTGGTATTATTCTGTATCTTCACCAATAAGTGAATTCGGTAGAAATAACGTAAAAAAAATCATGATTGCTAATTTTGTCGTTACTAAAGTGTCTTAGTATATTTGACCAACCGTACTTACAATTTGATGTTTTAGCGGGTGTTCTTTTGTTACTCGCTTATGAGATAACTAAGCTGAATGTAATATTTTCTTATTTACCATTATAAAGTACACTCCAATATATTATGGTTATCACTATTGAAAGGACTAGAGATATAATATGCATGCCCCAGTAAATGACGAATGGACTAGTCAGCGACTCCATATTTAACAGTTTATCTGTAAGAAGGAAAATAAAAAGTTATTCAAATGTTCACAACAAAATGTTTTTACAATATTTTATGAGCTACCTGCTATATTTCGATTTGAATAAAATGTTTGCAAATAACATCCGTTTGAGTTTTTAACTACGACTTGAAAAATATATTATACAATTCTTAAACTTTGGTCGATAAATGAGTCAATAATTAAAAGTTAGTGCTGCTTTGAGAGGAGTCATAGCTACTATTAGAAATATTTGATAATTAAAACAAGAAAAATCGTTAAATTCGGCATAAAAGGGTATAAAATGATCTCTTTCTTGATTTTGAGAGGTCAATTTGTATGGCAGCTATATGCTATAGTAGTTTGATCTGAACCATGCATTCGCATGTAGCGCTGCCTGGACAACAATTTGCGCCATATTTTGTATGGCAGCTATATCCTATGGTGACCCGATATAAGCTTCTTGCAGAGAATAGGACGTATACAAAATCTCAGATCGATGTCAGTCAAATAGATCTAAACAGGTGGCAACACCTGGTAAAAATATTTTTAACTGAAAATCTCCTTAATCTACCTCAGATAATAGTACATATATCTAATTTCTACTTTTTTAGGCTCAAAATATCAAACTGGTGGCCACCATATAATATATTCGTTTTTCCAATCTACAAATACAAAGAATTTTATTAAAAATATTGAACTATATTGTACAAAGATCGGTTCAGCATTGACCATGACTGCACTATTTACTGCGGCCGTGACGAAATTATGTTTTCAAAATTTAAAATAGCTGCATTGCTAATGAAATGTGGTGTTTTGAAGGGGCCTCACTTCTCAAATCATATACACTTTCATGTATACTCGTATTATGTACAAATATATGTATATGTATGTATATATAAGATATTACTAACCTGCATACTCTGGATGGAAATGCCATGTGGTGACCAAAATGGCGCCCAATAGATTCGTAAACATGCAAAGCATGACACCCCAGTTGGTCAGGTAAATAAAATACAGCCAAAAGTTTGTCGACGAACCTTCCTCTTTTTCGAGCATCGAATCTATGACGACGGCGGTGAAGAACAACGCAATAAGCCAACGGTAAATTAAATACACAATGCTTTTGGTGCGACTCTGCCACTGTAAGTGATAAATAAATAACAAGCAAACAAAAGAAAATGTTAAAGGTAATACATTTAAATAAAATAAAAAGGCTTGAACCGTTAGGGTGAATATTCTTACATATAAACATACTAAGTAAGGGATGTTGGTAGGGAATATATACTACATTATTAATGACTATTTAACCAAGAATGCAATCGAGAGACAACTATTGGCCGCATCTACGGGTGCTTTTTGTTTTTGTTTTTAAATAGTTGCGGAAGTGTGAGGCGTCGATATCATACCAAATCGAGCTAAACCTGCTGAGACCATTCTCAAGGTAAGTCAGTTGCCGAGTTGCCATCCTTGAAAAAATGAAACAACTGAACCTGAGACTTCTACTGTCAGTCCGATCTGTTGTTTTTGTCAACACTTACATACAAAAACCATATACTTTTTTGTGTTGTACAATGACCCTAATTGAGACAACAAAAGCAGAAAGGCAAGTAGCGCATGGCCTTTCTTGATTTCAACACCTCTTTGGTAGGACATTGTGTCACGGCACTATGTATGCATTGCATTTTTCATTTAAATAAAATATGATTTTCAAGAAAATATTGACCAACTGCGAATGGGCGTTGTTTTGTTATTCTTCTTCGTATAGCTTACATACTCCTACTGTGCTATATTGCGTTCGTTAGCTTGAGACTTTTAACATATGTGTTGACATACGACTCGACTTTGAAATTTTTAACAAAATTGTGGCAATAGCCTTGAAAGTACTTAAACGAGTACACATTGAAGACAAAATAATGGAAAGTTCTACCCAGCATTTGTATACCGTAGACTATGTGTGACTTTTGAATAACAAATGCAGATGATAACTTATTCGTCATTGAAAGAAATTCTTCATTTCAACTTTTAATTTTACATTATACATTTATTCATTAATAAAATTTATAATTTAAAAATTGATTGATTTTACTCACTTGTGATTTCACGAAGTCATCTGCTGGTGAGTGATCAAAGCCGCATTTGTCCCGACGTAACTCCTTTTTCACAGGATGCACAATTACTTGTAGGCGACTCATTTTCGCGGCTAATTAGGAATCATATATCATCATACAATTGGTATGCTGTTTTTAGATTCCCGCATTAAAAGTCTCGTCGTAAATATTACGAGAAATGCCGCCAGCGTTGAATTTTATGGTACTATAAATAAGGAGAAGAAGTTGAAAGAAAATAATATATATTATCGTTTTAAAACTAAAAAAATTTAAATTTAAAAGATAGGCAGAACAAAACCATACTTGTTATGATACTATGCGGACATATGAAATTGAGAGAATCGGTCCATACCTGCGCAAACTCTCTACATTACTATTGCGGTCTATGAAATATCAGAGCCTTTGAGTATGAAGCCATCTTTGATAAGATTTTCCCTACAGATATATAAGTTCGGACTTTATGGTCTCTTCTCTAAACTTCAAAAGGAATTTCTAATTAGAATTCCTCATTAGAAGAGAGTGGAGAAAAGGATATGTGGCAGGTAGGGAATGCTTCACTCTCTACACAAACAAGTTAAATGTAGAAGTGGGTGGGACGGAGTACTTAGAGGGGTTCAAAGCGAAAATCTTCCAGCCGAGGTACCAAGGATAGGAGGGTTTGCTAGGCCATTAGCGCCAAAAAAATCATAATACTAAGGATATGCTTATATCAAGAGTAAAAAACGTACTTACTTATGACGTAAACATATACTTATATACATACCTTATCGTATACCGAAAGCAGATTTAGAATCGTAAGACAGTGCAAGATTGATTTAATAGATATCTATCTCATTTAGGTTAGAACTTAGAAGGCGATGAGAAACTAGACGAGGAAAGGCGCATCTATTAACAAATCTGAGACAAAAGTACTCGGTTGTTCATTGTGGTAAATGTATAGGTATAACTGTCAGCAGTTAACATATCAGGGATGTTTGGACGTGAGGTAATGGTTAATCACTTTATTAATGCAGAAAAGAGGTTTCATAGCTGACGGAAATTGGGATAAAGTTTTAAAAACATAGTTTCATCAGGATCTGTATCCAATCAATTAATTTGTTTTTAAATTTTGTAGAATATTATGGTATAGCAACACTTTTTATCGAAGAATTAATTTTTACCAAAAAGTTACGATAGACAATGCTGTAGTATTCCAAATTCAAATTTCGAATGCGTATAATTGTATTACACATATTTGAGAAATATAATATATAGCTTTTATTATTCTAATTAGTTGATGTGTATTTGTAAAGATGTAGAGAATATATATGTATGTGTATATTAATATTGATATACGTGGATCACTATTGCATTACCTACTCTCAGCACGTTTCCCATATAATAATGACACAACCAAAAATTTACAATTATTTTGAACCAAAAATATAGCTTATTATTGAGCACATCCCTTTGACATATATGGGTCACTATGAGCTTGTTTTAGGCAAACATTAATTCTAAAACTTTGAGTGCTTCAGTATTTTCTGATGACCAAAAAGGTATAAAATTTTAAGTAGTAATTCTTATATACAATTGGCACATATATATTAAAATAAGTATTATATACCATATACTGTATATTATATAGCTGTACCCGACATGCCCGGCTACACCCCTTTTTAAATTCTCAACATGTTGCTACATAGTACAATATAATAGTTTTGTTCACTCAACGGTTGTTTGTATCAAATAAAACTAATCGAGATAGATATGGAGTTATAAATGTATATAAACGATCAGGATGATGGGGCGAGTACAAATCCAGGTGACAGTCTGCCCATCCTATTGAGATCCTCGTTAAATATATTTTTTATGAGCTACTTGACCAATTTTAATGAAATTAAGTTCATAATATTATCCTGACATTCGGTCTACAACCACGAAAACTTCTCATATACAAGTAAAACAATTTTAAACTTCTGATTCTGTCACTTCACAGTATAGAAATTGAGAGCCAATAAAGATATCGGGTTAAAACTTTGCAAAAATAGTGCCGTTTAATTGTGCCATCCACCTTGTTCAAAAATTACTTGCAGTAGCTAGTCCTATTTACAATTGGTTTTTAACCGGTCTTACAATATGCGACTGAACGTTGTCATGATTGCCTCGTGTATAGTCGCAAATTCCGGGTCCTTTTGGGCAATACCTCGTTTCAATTTAATGAGTTGTTGTCGCGCGTTCCCTATTAATGGGTTCACCCGGTTTTAAAAGCTCATAATACAAGATTAAGATATGGAAGCAGCGAACTTCAGGCAAGCTCGATGCGTTAGACATTGTAAACTAAACATCTTTCTCTTTTTACTGATCTTCCTCTGATATAAATTTTTCGTCAACCTTTTATTACTATCGAATTACTATTCAAAAATTTTAGTTGGGGTTTTGTCACCCAAAACCCCCCACGGAGCCGCCACTGGATCCCACCAAAACCAGAGCATCACCCTGCCGTCATGGACATTCGTCTTTGCTGTTGATTTGGCTGTTTGGACAGGTTTAGTGCTGTCGTAATAGATCCATTTTTCATTTCTTATCACCAGTCACAATCCGATGTAAAAACTGGCTTGTTAAGTCGTGTTTCAACGTCTCTTGGCTTCAATTTATATGGCACCCGATTTCCTTAGCTTTGAATGTATGCAGCTAGAAAAAAACTAGCTGATCTTCACTAGGAAACATATCCCGATGGAGGTAAACATGAAAGTTCATTCAGAAACAATACAAATGACAAAAACCCTAAAATACCTAGGTATAAGAATGTACAACAAACTGACGTACTGGGCTCAAATACAGCACGCTACTAAAAAGTCAGCCAATATAACCATGTCGCTTTCAAGACTTATGGCAAACATCGGAGGTCCGCTTGCGAGCAGAAGGAAACTGCTCATGGACACAACACAGTCAGTGCTATTAAATGGGAGTGAACTGTGGGCAATCAATGTGAAACATAGACGGAAAGTAGTTGCTAAGGTGTAGGGAACAGCAGCCCTGAGAGTCGCCTCGGCTTACCGCACTGTATCCGAATCCGCAGTGCTAGTGATAAGCTGCGTAATCCCAATAGATCTACTCGCAAAGGAGAGAAGACAACTCTTGCTATGGAAGAAAAATGTAACGGAAATACACTTGCAAACAAGACAACAAGCAAGGAAGCAAACACTCGAATTCTGGCAAGATCGGTGGACAAGGGAGCGCAAAGGGAGATGGACTGCCAAATTGATCAAAAATATAGGGACATGTCACAGTAGAAAACACGGCGAGGTGAACTACTACCTAACACAGATGCTCTCCGGCCACGGATATTTTCGAAAATACCGGTATAACATGGGTAAGGCCAAGAGCCTTGCATGTATTTACGGAGACGAACCACTCGATGATGCAAACCATACCTTCTTTAAGTGCCATCGATGGAATGAAGCTCGGAAATAATAGTAAAAATGATAGCTAGCGGCGAAAACTGGCAACAAATTGTCTCTTACGTGGAACTAGTACTATGCATCAAGAAAAGGGACATGGACGCGGACCCTCCGACGAATTCCACTCAATAGAAGATACTCAGCCTGATGCTGGCTACAAACCAGTAGGCATCCCTGGACGCAGGGAGAGTAGAAACTGACCCGCTATGGGACCATCTTGGAAACCTTGCTCTGAAGTAATGCGAATTAAAAAAAAAATGTATGCAGCTGCTTTTAAATGTTTTAAATGGCTACTGGAATGACTCCCAACAATTATGAGGGCTCTTCCAGTGTTTAGCAACAATTCTCATCGAGTAATGCTCCCCAAATTTTTGCCCAAAAATCCACACGTAGTTCGAATTTAGCTACCGATTGGTAAACATTTTTCTGATGTTAGCCTTAAATTCTAGAATAAGCTCCGATTTGCGTATCCATGTTTGTCTCAATACATGAAGTATGAGTCGCATCGGGGTTTAACTCTTTACAATTTCAACAGTTCAAATAGGTTTATAAAGATAAACCTTCATTCAAGATATTTGCTCATAGCTGAGGTACATTCAATACGTATGGTTTTAATAACGTCAAATTCAATGACAATTTTAGTCAAACTAAAGAAAACAGTTATCATTTAATTTGTGTAACAATGTATGACATTTATTAATAGGCTAAATTGGCAACTCGATGAGACAGTCATATACATATTTATATGTTCAACATATGTCAAACCCCTCTTTTATCTAAATTACTAATTCAATAAACTTGTCAAAAAATGTACAATAATAAGAGTTGTGAGATATTTTGCATTAATTAGTCGAGCATGTATTATTTCAGTTTTCAATAACAGATTCAAACATGAAATAAATGGTGAATATGCTCTTTAGAATTGGATAGATAAAGCAAACGAGATGCGTTTTACTAAAAATTATAAAGTGCTGTATCTCAAAATTCAATAAGGATACAAAACGTCTAATTCATACAGAGGATCACGGAGGAAATAAAATGTGTGATTGCAGATTGTTTTTAAAAGTGAGAGTGCATCCCCCTCTAATAGATGGGCCGACATACTACTAAAGCTACTTATATCAACCAAACTTAAAAGAAACGTTTCGCTCTAGCCTTTAATGATACAATATGGGTGATCGCTACTTTTTAAATAAAAATATGATATTTTAGCAACTCCTCGATACTTTGCCAGAATCAACCAGTCAGCGAAATTCGTAGTTGCCAGAAAGTTCGAGTGACGATGTTTTGGTAAAGATCTGCTATGTGAAGGCTGCTGGATTGACAGCAGACATAGTTCAAATAAGAATTAAAATTAAATGAGCTAAAAGTAAGAAGTTGTAAACTGTTATAATAAGTAATAAAGTTTGATTTAAAAATAAGGATAAGTGTATAGCCAATAAATTGTGGCTTTTATTAAACAATTCAGTGATCGAACTCGATGATTTGTGGAGTAAGCCCGTTACATTATTCTCCCTAAATTTCGAAAAAAGGCTTTCGACCTTTCCTTATCCACAATATACCTGCTATAATGGTTTTTAAACTTCGATGCTTAAATGAAATTTAATGTTGTTTCAACTCTGTGACCAGAAATCTTATTATTGTGAAAGACCCCCCTTAATAACTACATTCACATATATGTACATATATAATTAATATACATACAATTATTTTTCATACACCTGCTTATAATTATAAATATTATATGAAATACGCTGCACAA